GCTCAGAAGGGACCTCACCACTTTACAAATACCTGAAAGGGTGCTGGTGAGGTGGGAATTAGTCTCAGCTTCCAGATCAGAAGCAACAGGACAAGGGGGAAGGCCCTCAGCTGGCACCAGGGGAGGTTTAGATTGGATATTAGGGAAAATTGCTTCACTGAAAGGGTTGTCAAGCTTTGGGGTGCACAGGGAAGTAGTGGAATTACCATCCCAGGAGCTATTTGAAGGATGCATAGATGGGACACTTAGGGACATGATTTAGTGGTGGACTCAGCAGTGCTGGCTTAACAATTGGACTCTACAATCTTAAAGGTCTTCTCAAACCTAAAGGATTCTAAAGGCCCACATGTGTATGCTGTAGAACAAAACCCCCGTAACCTAATTAAGTTCAGGAGCCCAGCAGAGCCTTAAATCTCTTTCTTCTGAGCCTAGCTTTTCTATTACTTTGAAACAGACATCATTAACCTGCAGGACCATCTATACCTACAGAGAGAGTGGAGAAAGTGTCTTGCATTTAGCAGCAGCTATGCTGTATTACCTCAGTAATACAATACCTAAATAACTTAGTAAACTCTTTTTACCTTCTGGGTTTTTTTTTTTAGAAACCTCTACCTCCTGGTCAGAGAACTATCCCTGCAAGCAGTCAGCTGCAGTTGGGACAACGGGCCAGTGTAGGCTGCAAGCTGTGGCTCACGCACAGCTACACAGCCATGCAGAGGCTCCACAGGGTGGGAGGGGGTGGCAGCTGAGGGTGCTCAGCACTGAGGAGCAGGTTACCTGGCCCAGCACAGGATGGGCTGTCGACAAAATCCTGCCACACAGCAAGTAGCTTTGGGAAGAGATACCAAGCAATTAGGTGGTTTCCAATTAGGTGGTTTCTCCAGTTCTTGTTGAGAGGATGGGATTTGACGAACACAGCTCTTGGCTGCTTATTCTGTCCCTCACTGCTGAAGAACCAGCTTTCCTACACCACATGAATGCAGTCACAAGTTCCCAGTGTGCCTTGGGGGTGTAGAGAACAACAAAAGTCTTGGGCAGAAGTTTCCTCTTAACCAAGGAAGGAAATGCACTGAGCTCTTCTGCAGCAGCTCTTGTAGTTTTCCCAGCACCAACTAATTCTCCATTCTCTGCTTGGCAGCTGAGAAGAGGCCAGGTCACTGTGGGTGCGTTTTGCTGAGCTTTTGGGTTTCCATCTGTCTGCATAAGCACAGAAATGGTGGAAATGCTGTTCTGCGCTATCCCAAGCACATTAAGACAACTTAGGCAGCAAGAGCAATGTGCTGATGAGGGCTCTTCACAGCAACTAACCCTGCTGTACGCAGAAGGTGACGTTGAGAGTTTATACAGGAGGAACAGACAATTGAGAACATACTGCTGGAACAAAAGGCGCTGGAACTGGCAATCTGATCAATGATCACAACATTTCCACTGGACTTACTCAACTTAAGCATCTAGTGCACTGGTGACTGCACACAGCTAAGCAAAACACCAGTTTAGACATACTAGCAATCTACCTTTGGCTTACTTCAAAAGCCTTTACCTTTCTGCGAAATCAAAACTCCACAAAAACTATGAATTTTAAAGTAAGTTCAGAAGCTTATAACACAGAAACATAATGCCTTGAAATAAGTCTGACTTGCAAACAAATCATTAAATGCATGACTAATTTTTCTACTTTACTAAAAAAATACTGGGCTCTTTCCCAGCACTGCCTGAACATGACCAAATTTAATTCAATTCTTTTTTTCTCCTTACAATAACTTGGAGCAGGAACAGACATAACCCTAGATTTTATTTTGTTTTGTTCCAGACAGACAATCAGTAAAGAATCCAGTGTTGCTGGGGGAATAAGTAATAATATCTATAAAGCCTGAAAGCTCAATCAATGCTATTATAAAACTACTGCAGAAATTTGTCTACTGCATAGTGTTACCGTAATTGGTGACAAGCCTTCTTAATAAAGAGTCTAGTCAGTGAAAGAAAAAGCTGTATCCTTCTTGAATACTGCATTATAGGTTTTCAGTAGCATGAAACAGAGGAGATTAAGACAGTGCTGCTCAGTTCATGCATCTGGCAGACAGTTTATCAAAAGGCACAAAACACCTGAAACAGCACTGCTCCAGCTGTGTATGCAGCCAGGCTGTTGTGTTTGGGATGCACCTCAGCAATCCCCTGTGCTCTTCAGTTTTCACTGGTCTGATCAGGCTTCAGAGCTCAACCTACCACATGCCTCTTTGGCAGGCCTCCTGGACACAAACCCTCCCTCTATTAATGACATGCAGAAATGGTGCTCTACGACCCTGTTTCACTCGTCCTTTCCTTCTTCCTCTGCCCCTGCCTGCTCTGGACAAAGATACATCTAACAGTTAAGAGACCAGTAAGACAAGTCCAGCTGAGTCCTGCCTTATAGGGAGGCTGAGGTCAGGAGTGCATGATCAGGAGCTGGGCTTTACTGGGTTAAGCCAAGCATACGCCAACTGTACTGCTAAAATATTCATGGGTTTGCACTTATGTTACATAAAAAGAATAAGAGATTGCAGTTTGAGAAACCAGTGCTTACATAGCCTGCATCCACCCTCTTTCCCTGTCACCCAGTACAGGTGACAGTGCACTGCAACAGTCTTGGTGCACTTTCATAACAGCCAGCTGATGTAGGACTCTTCCTCTCCTGGGGCAGCACTTTGCACTTGCCCCGGTTCAGCCATGAGATCTCCACAGGTCAGCCCCTTTCTTCAGCCTGGTAAGGACCCTCTGCACAGCCTAGACCCCAATGGTATCACTTCTCACCCTTGCCCCAGTTTGGGGCCACTCACAGCTCCATAAAGATGCCTCAGTCTCCTCTAGGTCACTGATAAAGGCAGATGGTAAGACAGATCCTGCAGCAACATCACTTGCCACCAGACTCCAGCAACTATCTCAATGGGGAATTCAAAGACTGAACATTAACCTCAGAAAATTATCTTGGGAGGCTTCTAACAGACTCACTGGGATTGGCAGGAGGGTCAGCAGCAGGTGCTGGGCTCCCTCAGCACAGGGTGCCCACATATCTCAGTGCCTGGATTGCCTGAGCACCTGTGGTTGGTACCTCCAGAACCACAGCTGGAGGCAATAAGAGCAGAGAAGCTTTGGGTACACCAGGAAATAGCCTCACGCAGCTCTTTCTGGGGGGCTATATGAAGGTGACATTATCATAGCCATGATGTCCAAGGCACACACAGCCACAGCATAAAGAGCTCTGGGTAGGCATGTGTGCATTCCTGCTTTCTAAAGCCTTTGCCATTTCACCATTTTCAATATGACATCCTGGTCACCAACTACTCAACACAGACACCCCAGCTAAACAAAGCTGACAGTAACCACACCGGGAAGGGGAGGATGCCTTGGGGAGGAGAGGGGTCAGGAACAGGCAGGTAGCATCCTGCAGAAATGAGCACCTTCTCCCCCTTTCCACAAGACACTGCTGTAACGATGTTACCAGGAGGAAGAATTGTTGTAAATAAGAGTTAAATGTTCAGACAAGCACCACACTGCAGAGTCATGCATTGTTAAAACTTTAAAAGGATACTTGTTCAATTATTTTTTTTGGTTTTTCTTCATAGAAAACTCAAGGGAGGGATTGCTCCATCATTCAAGAACACTAATAACATTCAAATTATGCCTGAAATCTCTGTCTCTCTCTAGTTTGTGACTCTGCCTGGACAAGTCACTCATGGAAAGAAGTAAATCCTTCCTCCTGAAGGAACAATGGTACATATGGCAGCAGGACTCACAGAGCTACATACCAGCATGTCATGGGAAGGACCAGTGAAAACTCACTTTGGCTAAGAAACAGCTGCTTCTGAGAGTAGCATGTGGTAAACACTTTACTCTGGTGCTGTCACCTTAAAGAGCATTCAGGGGTGTTACAAGGAGTAAATACACATGGTTATGCACAGGAAGTGCACGTGTACAAGTTGTATGCAGTATCCCAGGTACTACACTGTTGGGGAAAATTTAAGAAAACTTTGTAATTGATAAGAGAAAGGCACGATGTAAAAAACACCAAAACCAAGAGGTGCTATTCCTGTACTAGAGCTAGTGGCCTGTCCCACAGGCAGAACAGCACAGGCCTGTGGATCTCACAAGGCACTATGGTACCAATGATGGGAACTGAAAGAGACATGAGAAGAGTTACATTAAAAGATACTTTCAGGAAGGCAGGCTGTCATTGCTCATTGAGAAGATAACTAGGTGGCACTTCAATGCATGCACTGCCTGATGAAACTAGTTTATGAATGGGCTGAAGACATTAAGAAAATACTAAGAAGATCTAAAATAAGGCTCCTGTGGGTGTGCATCCACCACACCTCTCTCCAATGGCCTGTGTCCCCCATACATGCAGGGGGCCTGCAATGCTTGCACAAGGAAGGTGACATCAGGTTCAAGGGCATTAGGGCTGACACCAAGCACAGCAAAACACACACCAGCTCTTGTGCACAGGCCAGTACATACAACTACCGCAGGCACCAGTGATGCACTGCCTGGGGCTGAGCTCGGGTTCAGCGTGTACTGAATATGGGGTTTGCGGACTGAGCAGGGCTGCACCGTGCTCACAAACCCGCACAACCCGCCAGCGACCCATCCCGCCGGACGGATTGGGCACGCTGACACCGGGAGAAAGCCCGCACGCCCCAGAATGGATGAGTCATAGTTTACACTGTCTATCCACTTGTCCCCAGGAGCAGAGCATCGCTCTCCAGTGAGCCCAGCACCGCGGGGCTCCGCCGCACAGCGAGCTCGGCTGCCGGCGGCGGGCACCGGGCTGAGCCGCTGCGCGGGGCCGCTCCCGCCGAGCGGGGCTGCGGCTCCGAGCGCGGTCCCCGCTCCGCCGCTCCCGCCGGGGGCTGGGGCGGGCCCGGGGACACGCCCGACGGCGCGGCCGGCCGAGCTCACCTGCGCAGGCATGGCTCCTCAGGCCGCCCGCTCCGCACCGCACCTCACCGCACCGCTCCGCACCTCACCTCCTTCCGGCGGCTGGGCGCGCCCGGGCGGGTGAGCAGCGCCGTCTCCTCGCAGACCACGGCCACATCCTCCACGAAGACACAGTCGGGGAGGCTCTCGTCGGCCGGCAGCTCCAGCACCTGCAGCCCCAGCTTGCCCCGCAGCACACCCACATACAGCTGATACTCCCTCTCCGCGCGGGCGAAGTCTACCTCGGGGCCCGCCGCGCTGCGCAGCGCCTGCCGGCACAGCGACTCGGGCAGCGCCCGCACCACGGCGTGCGTGCAGCGCCCGAAGGCGGCGAGGCCGCCGCCCAGCCCGGCCATGCTGCGCGGCGGGGTCGGCGGAGAGGGACGGGGGACGCGCGGCGGGGTCGGCGGAGAGGGATGAGGGACGCGCGGCCGCCGCCGGCGCTGGCAGCACAGAAAGCGCCGCCCGCGGCCCGGCCGCGCCCCATTGGCTCCCCACCAGGCACATTTCCATGGGGCCGCCGCCGCCGCGCCCCCATTGGCTGGCGGCGGCAGTCGGGCCGCGCCATTGGCCGCCCCCCGCGCGGCGCCGCTTACCTGTACGGGCGGGCCCGGCCCGCCCCGCGTGTGGCCTGAGGGCCGGCACGGCCCCGTTCCGCTAGTTCTGTGCGGAGGCACGGCTGTGCTGACAGCGTTGTAACCCCGCGTCCAGGCACATTCTTTTCAGCTGCGATGGGCAGGGGGAAGGTTGATGACCCTCGGGCTCGAGGGTGCCTTGGCTTGGCCGCCTGCGAGCCCTTTTGCCGCTGCCTTCTTCCCTGGTGGCACAGCTGAAGACCAGGCGGTTCTTGTGGGTGACCAAAGGAAGAATATCCCATGACAGGGACAGCTCCAAATAGAAATCTTAAGGAAATAAGCCCAGCCGACTCTGCTGTCCTGGCTTTCTGCGGGGCACTCACCGGCAGAGCGTGTCCGCCTGCTCCCACTCCTTCACACTATTAAGGTTTCCGCCTCTGTGGAGAAGGAGGGACACCGCTGCTGTGCTCCACCTCTGCCTCAGGGACTGCAACAATGAGGGTTTCACACACTTTTCCCTAAACAAACGCTTCCCTCGGCTTCATTTTCTCCAGTTTTACCCTGGCTGGAGGTTACCCCGGAGGAGGGCCAGCCCTTGCCAGAGCACATCTCCGTCTCCCGGCAGTAGGCTAACGAGTCCTTGTGCCACACCTCCCGCCACAGGCCACATCCACAGCACTCAGCTGCCCTGCTCCTGCTCCCAAGCCACCCAGGCTTCTCCAAGGTTTGTCCTCACCAGAGCAGACAAGAAAAAAAGAAGGAATATGAATTTTCCTTCCAGCTCTGCTTTTGCTGGCAAGGCTTTTGCAAGTGTCCCTCTGGTCATGGAGGGGACCCCACTGGCACACAGCTCTGTGTTCCCCCTTCAGAGCTCAGACAAAGGCCAGGCAGCTGCCTTGGCCATGCTGTCACAGATATCTGCAGATGTGCAGCATTTGGTATTTGGGAATAGGGTTAATGAACAGCACAAAGGAAATACCAAAGTGTGTTTCTAAAATGGCAGCTCACTAGATTTTCGTCTGCATTTTCCACACGTTCTCCAAATATTCTGTAAAGGCTGCTTTTACTTAATGTGCATAGGCACAGTTATTTGAATAACTGTAATTCACTGAATAATGCACAAATATTACTGTGCTTGAACAAATGGACAGGTAATTGAGTTGATATCATGTAGGAGACATTTCAAATTCTTGAAAAACCTCTACAAGTAGTATCATACTGCATCTGGTATGACATGTAAACCCTCCACCATTGTTAAAGCCTATTTGGACTTATTACATATTTGGGATATAGCCATTGGCACAGTTTGGTTTTCTTTTAGTTGGCATCATTTTAGCCAGAAGAAAAAGTGCTACTATCCAGTAATTTTAAAACTGCCAGGGTTTCCTGCAGCCAATGGATTAGAAAGTTATAGTTAATACAGATATTTTTGACATCTGCAATCACTTCATGTATTTGTAAGTGGTGACATCATTGAAGTTACAGGAAATGAGGTGATGCTACACTGAGATCTCATACACACATGACATGCTCTCTAGGACAGTGAGGCTCGCCCCAGAGGCACAGTCACCAGTCCAGCTCAGGTGGCCACGGCTGCTCCCTGGGAGCTGGTCAGGTATCACTTCTGACAGCTCCTCAATAGCTTCTTGGGCGACAAGGCTGGAGAATCTCTTTGTGAGACACAATGCTATGAGACAGTGCGTTCTAGGCACACAATTGTGTGTTGGAAATTCATATTGTAGCTGTTTAAACAAGGTTTCAGAACTAATGACTACAGTAAAAAGTCATTTGTTTTCCCATAAATGTATAAAACAGTTTAAATACACATTAAGATCTGTTTTCTGATTGTGATTATTGTTCTGTTATTTATGGTGACTAGAAAGGCATCATTAACAATCTAGGAACAGATGCACCCAGAGCAATATTGTGCATATTTATCATAAGATTATCAAAATATCAGTTTATTCACAAATTAACGTTACAAAATACAATGTGTTCACATAGTCTTATGGGAGTGCTGTTAAAATTCATCATATGAAGTAATGCAAAATAGATCAGCTACAGGCACCAACATAGTATTTAAATATTCTCTACCTTGTTGAATATCCAGTATTTTCCTGTAACTATGTCCTGCTGGAGAGACTAGTATAAAAGAACAAAGCTGCCCCTCAGCAAAGAAAAAAGCTGTGTCACACTGTGGAAGTAATGCAGAACAATGAAAACTGTGCTGCTAACAGGATATGGACTACAGACCGCTTGAGCATTATCACAGAAGGCTCTATTTGGAACGGAAAAAATGCTTCATACAGAGGAGGATGCAAATCCAGGTGTTTTGTGACTGCACTGCACAAAGTCATCTGCTGGCAGTGACAGGAAGAAGAAAACTGCTTTGCAAAATGCACTTGAGTTTGCATTGGTGAACAGTGCATTCACAGAGAAAGGAATAGATAGTGAAACAGGAGACATGGTTTAAAAGTTATGACAGAAAAATGTTGATACCCAGAGTAAAATTTTATTCATTTGACCAAAAAAAAAACCCAAAAAAACAAAGGAGCATATCAATAAGATTTTTTTTCACAGCCACAACTTGAGAACAGCCTAAAGCTAGGTAAAAAATAATTACCACAAAGATGAAGGGAACAATTTCCACAATGCAGAAGGCAAGCAACAAGCTTAAACTGAAATTGCATCAAGGAAAAGTACAAAAAACTTTCTGACAATAAAGAGCAGAGAAAAAGATTGCCTGGTAAAGATGTGCAGCCTCTATACCAGGTGTTTTTTGGGAAAATAAACATCTGCCAGGAGCAGAAAGCCAGAGATGGGGAAAAAGGATGGATAAGGAGAGGTCCCTTGCAGTCCTGTGATTCAATTATTATTTTTACGCTGGATACTATTGTTTTAGTGAAAACAGCTATGCAATGATGAGTCTAATGTGCTCAGAAGCAAATTCATAACCTTTACCTGGGTCACTGAAGGTCAGAGATGGCCAGTGCTGTTGAACAGTTCGTGTGACCATGACAAAGGAGAATTTGGATCACTGATGAATACAAATGCATACCACACAGGCAATTGCTCAGGCATGATAGGCAGCTGCAAAGTTGGAAAACATTTCCCGTTGCTTGGAAATGCTGGAACATCACCGCCGTCCCCAAAACCTTAATGGACATCTCTCACACTATTATTGAAATGCTGCTTGAAACTCCAGAGAGTGAAAAGTCAGGACAAGACAGCAACTGAACCATTCAATAATCAGCACATCCCACTGTAACAAAGGGAATCTGCACCAGAAAGATGGAGAGACACTGAATTTCACTTTAAGTGAATTTCACTTTAAGTGATTTCTTCAGCTTCATGAAAACTGTGCAACCACTGCACAGCCAATCATCATTATTAACACTGATCTGCTGGAAAAGCTCCCATTATGACCAATGGATCATTCTCTTAGAAGAGGTACATGACCAGGTCTTACTCACAGCCACGGAAGAGAAAAATGTTACTTTAATCATGCCTTAGATACACAAGCAGCGACTCAAAGGGGTTTTCACCCAGGTAGTTGTCAGAAGTTTTCTCTTTCTGCTCTTCTACTGTAAAAAACCACAGTGACTCAGTGAATCAGTATTTCTACTAAATAATTAAGTGTCTGGGCTCCTCATTTAGAGAAGCTGAAAACATTGGGCAGGCAACAAGGCTCTTCACCCCACTGCATGGACAAGTTCCCAAGGGCTTTTTCATTTTCCAAATGCTGAACAGATTTGTTTGCCATTTATTCTTTATGTAACAGATACTTCTGGAAGATGTGATGCTTCTTCTAGATGTTCTTCAGCATTTTCCCTTGCCTGAGTTGAACCCATGCTATCTCAGTGTCTTAACGGGGTCAGATAAATTCTATATATAGCTGGTTCAGAGGAAACACAATATTTATTTTGTCTGCTATGGGATAATGATCTGGGTGTTTCCTCAGCTGGCATTTTGCATCCTGAAGAGAAGAAGGAATTCCCATGAACGGACAGCTACACAGTTGTTGGGAGACAAAGCTGTCAGAGGGTGATTCTTTACAAGGCAGCTTTGGCAGCATTGTTGCCATGACATGGCACCAAGCAGCCTGGACATGCAGAGGCACAGGGCATTCCTCACATTTGCAGTCTTCCCACGTGTTGTGTTACAATAGATTGCAGTTATTGTGTACAACCAGAATCAACTTCTGGATTTTCTTGGCTGAGCAAACAGATCACTGAGGCAAGAGGTTCAGGATTCTGACTGTTTATCTTCTGTGCTCCTATCTCCTCACCTTCATCATGCCTTATGACCACTTTTACCCTTCTTTCTATGCAGGAGAAAAGCCACTACTTGAATTTTTTAAAAAAAGCATAGATTAGGTACCACAGGTATGAGATGAAAAAATTAGATTAGTAGTCTGTGGAAATTTATACTGAATTACATAAGTTAACATATCTCTTACAGAAAATGATAGAAATGCACCATTTGTGTCCCTGATGGACAGACTTCCCAGAAATATGCTAGAAATGCTACTCCAGCTAAGAGAAGGAGGAGACAGAGCTAGGATAAGTGTCTTGCAAATGGTTATTGTTGTGACTGCAACATAGCAATATTTCTGCTATCAACAGTAATTTTAATAAAGCATGCTATTTTATAAGCTTGACAAGAAAGCATCAGCTCTAGGAGTAGAAGGGGAAATGGTTCATGCCATTCATACTTATGCAGCTACTGTTCAATGGGTCTCATGAACCCAAAACCAGCTGCTGTGAAGTGCTGTAGGTGCCCACTGTGGGGCTTCCTGAGGGAAGGGTGGGATAAAGCCTTTGCTGAATCACTGCTGCTAAACTGGGCTGCACTGGTAC